ATAATTAAAACCGCTTCCTCGTGCATGTCCCGCCTTGGCCAGATAAACCGTGTCAAGCATGTCTTCGACAAACGTACACTTTTGATGATTATTAATTCCTTAGTTTTTAGCAGGTTATTTTATTGCTCCAATGTTTGGTCAAATACCTCAAAATGTAATGTCAACAAGTTACAGGCAGTGCAGAACTTCGCATGCCGCATTGTTAGCGGCGCGCGTAAATTTGACCATGTTACACCAATTCGCAAGGAGCTAAATTGGCTTTCAGTTCCCAGTCAGCTTTATTACCGGAACGCTACAATGGCTTTTAAATGTATGACCGGTCAAGCCCCTGAATACCTTACATCAAAATTCATAAAGCGAGCAGAGGTTAGCCGACGTAGCACCAGAAATTCACAGCTTTTACAAATTCCCTTTTTTAGAACAGCTGCCGGTCAGAGAACATTTTTCTATAGAACTGTGAACTTATGGAACTCCTTAGACAATTCTTTTAAACTGTGTAACTCGATTGATGTTTTTAAAACTAGTTTACGTACTAAATTACTTAAAGAATTGTAATTTTATATATATTTTAAAACATTTTTAATTGTAAATAGGATCATGTATTGTCTTTGAAAAGCCCCTTGGGAAAGTCAATAAAGTATGTATGTATGTATGTATAATTAGAAACAAATAATCCGATTAGAACAAAACATGATTAAAAATAGAAATCCCAAGTGGGAGTAGCCAACAGGTTGGCTGTTTACAAGCATGGCCGAGGATTTAAACTCGGAACGACCAAAAACAAATCCAGCAAGTGGCCAGAGCGGGACTCGAACCTGGGACCGCTGAATTACGAGTCCGATGCGCTGATCACTCGGCCACACTGCCCTCCTGGACGCTAGCTTAAAGATCATGGAGGGAATAAGGCTAAAGTTAAGTTCGTCAACCTGAATTCAGTGGGTGGGATTGAGCCATTATTCTAGCTGATTGTGCTAACGATACGCAGTTCATGTTTAAGTTAATTAAAGCAACTGAGGACATTCAGTACCAATCCCGTTTTTGCCAAAAAGGATCTCTTCTTTTCGGATCAGTTTTGGTGAGCTAAAAACAAAAGGCTCCGGGGAGGCTTTAGGAGGATTCAAGGTGATGCAGTTAACTCTTGTATTAGGGACGGCTCTTCAGCAGGTAACTGGCGGTAGCTATAGGCAGGAGACCCTGGGAAGGGTACCTTACCAGCTGTATGTTAACCTACATGGGAACAGTAAGGATTGTCGAAGGTCTCAGCGAGGAGATAACAGAATAAGGACTAGGAACCAGGTGGAATGAAGTAGCACTAACCGCTGGTGGGGGCTGAGCCAAAAGCTTGAGTTACAGAGTAGTAATGACATATTGGAATAGTGCACAAGGTCAAGCTGGAAGACCTGGAATGAACACTTGGAATGTGGTTTGCGAGAGGATTTGATTGAGAGTAACTTAAGTTAAATCAGTGGCCAGATACTCACCGGTTAACAGACGAAGTTGTGTTAGTACATGTCTTTCACGAGCGTAGGGTCTAACACTGCGAATGTGAGTATTCACCACTGCAGTTGCTGGCCAGAGCGTAACCAGCGAGGCAGGATCTCCTTCGGGGCATATGTTGAGGAGTTCCAATCCATGTTCCTCGATATCATGTTCAGAAAAGAGATTTTTCTTAGAATTCTTGGGCCTACCGACTTCTAGTGCTATCCCATTTGGAAAGCCGTGAACCGTGGTCTGTCTGTGAAATTTTCTTCTAGATACTTTAGGAGATCCAAGAGGGCGTTCTTTTGGACAGCAATAAGTTTTTGTCAACAGAAGAGCCATCATCGGTAAGACTTCTACGCGGTTGGTGGCAGCTTCTTTCTGCCATGTGGCCTCCAAAAAGGGGAAGAACTTGTACTCTGATTATACCAGCTACATTGCGTTCACTTTTCTCAAGTTTTCCTAGGCAGTAAATGTCTCGTTTTTCTTAACCTGCAACTGTTTTTGGAGTTCTGTATTGTGAGCGACGACCATGATGATTTTTTTATATGGGAAGTTACGGCGGGCTAATGTCGATAGTCTTCTTACTTCGTAATGACTTCGAGAAAACAAATTACACAGCCTTCGGAAAACTGCGATTGTGTCATGGATGACGCTGCCAAATGAAATTTATTTGATATCTTCTTTATAGCTCTTCCTGTGCAGGAGTCTGGTGAAGAGACTAGTTAATCAGAACAGTAGGTAAATTGCCTAAAATAAAGTATAGTAATAATAATATTAATAATTTAATTATCCTTTCTCTTTCCGGGACTTTTTAAAGGATAATGAAAAAATTATCGAAATGGAACATAACATGTTTTAAAAGAATCAGTTTTGTATTTTACAAGCGTGGTCGTGGATTTGAACTCGGGACTACCAAGAGCAAATCCAACAAGCGGTCACCGCGGACTTGTACTCGGGGCTTCTGAATTACAAGTCCAGCACTCTAACCACTCGGCTGCGCTGCCCCCTTTAATATCCTCATGGCCGCATAACTTCTCTGATTTGTTTAAACACACAAACATGCTTATGACGTTCGCGAGAACGTCAAACAAGTTATTATAATCCTGTTTGACTGAAGAGTAAAGGTTAAATGAATTATCTCTGATTAGCCGCAAACATTGACAGTTCCTCAAGGCTGTCTCTTGGGACCGCTCCTGTTTAACTTATTCATCAATGGCCTAGAATTTGCCGTATCCATCCTGCCGCTCCACGCAGACGACACTGCTACCTCTGAAACCCAAGGAAATATTATTATGCTATTCTGCATCCAAGAATTGCTATAGCTCAGAGTTCAAAGAGACGTCATTGCCAGTCAGTGGTACTGCTGTAAACTAAATGGCAAGTTTGTGTTTATATGCACATTTTCGTTTTCGGCATTGTTTTCAGCTGGCTACTAAGATTCAAACTCAGAAAATCGTTTTGGCCGTTAAATGGAGGTTCAAAAGAATACAGAAACTCTCTTTGGGAAGGCATGAAACAGGCTAATCCCACTTAACTGATGCAGATGGTTTTTATTTTCAATTCCATTTTTCTGGACAATCGGCCTATCGGTCACTTTTATGGGAGACTGGATGCTTAATAGGAACGCGCTTTAAAACATATCAGGCACCATGTCAGGAACCCATCAACTAAGAGCGTCCATCCGCGCTACTCACATGTCTGCGCGTTAGACGGCTTTTAATCTATCACGATTATGATGCGCCCGCAAAATCCAGTATGACAGTTGATCTTCTACGTGTAACAGAATCTTTCTTGTGAAATAGAATCTTTCTTCTCTCGACTTTAATATCGCTGTTTGATATCTGTGCTCGTCTGCCATTTTTGAAAATGTCAATACTCTGCTTAGCTGCTTTGACTGGATGGGAATTTTGTTTTTTTGGCGCGAAATGAATGGAAATGTTCAACGGAAATGTAACTTGTGTACAGTGTAGTTATTGCTACCTGTTCGTGTTCTGAAATAAAAACACCAGAAAACCCGTATTAATTATCTTTATTAAGCAGATCATTTCTTCGCACGCCCTTTTGGATGAAAGGCTTGCAAACAATGATGATTAAAATTTGGTATTTTTAATGGTAATGTATGCTCAATTTTCTCTCAATTAGTTCGAAATACAATCTTCATATTACACTCCTAGCCTTTTATGGCCCATGTTTGTTAAGGAGTGACAGACCATCGGCAATAAAATTTCAATTTCAATTGTTTTATTCTATGGTTTTGATATATGATATATTACACCTTTTTCAAACAATTTATGAAAGTGTTATATTTTGTTTCCTTTGGAGTATTTGTCATGCTTTTTACAAGAACCTCACCATAGTATAGTTTTAAATTCATGCGAATGAAATTGCAAACTGTCGGTGCCTCTATCATCACCTGTCCTATTTCACTAACCTTAATATCTAATCATTTGAGCTTCGGTTTTAGTATTAAAGCAGAATGCTTTTTACAGTTTAATCCTACCTGCTGTGAGCAATGGTAAATTTCCTTCAGGAGATAAATCGAGCAGGGATGCTCTTAGGTATAAGGCAAAAGCTGCTGCCATTTCTTGTAAAATAGTATAAATTTAACAACTTTACGCAATTGTAATTTTTTTTTTAGCCTTTTCGTATTTCGTATATAGTGAATAACCATTCGACTGAAAACTATATTTTAGAGCATTTTAGTTCTTTTTTAATTAATCTGCCATAAGAAATGTCACCTTTGTGGGGTGGCAAATTTTGTTGTCTTTCGATGGCTGTCGTCATCTTTTCTGACAGATACTTTTTAGTTTAAATATAATGAAAATAAAACTTGCGCACTGAACTGCATCGTTTCTAAGCCTCGGGCTTTTAATAAGCGCCCCAACATTCCTTCTACGAATCCAGACCAGACTCCAAAAAATTAAAGAAATTCATCCGGCCGCTTGAAAAAAATATAAAAGCAGACATGTTGTAATAGAGGAACATAGGTACAATGCTATATGTGCGATTAACTCTAGCCGTATTTTTATTTGACTTATCTGTTTTCTTAATATAACAATTGACAAACTGGTGATACAGCTTACGATAAGTGTTTTTTTTTTTCTTTTTTCCCATAAACATTTTTTACTTTGCACACATCAATTTTATTCAAATTACTGAACTGTGAATAAAAATTTGAATAAATACAGTGACTAATTTCCCACCAAATCGAACATTTTATTGAGCCCCCAGGGCCAAGTCTTCTGTCACCAAGAGGTACTAAATAGATGAAACAAGCGGCAGTATCTATAATCTGTTAAAAAATAATAATATGGTAGGTGGAACTGTACCAGTAGAATATACAAGCATTTTCTTGATGCTGTCTTAAATTTTGCCATACTTAAAAGCAGTTATCAATTTAAAATACTGTTTTTTAGAGTTGAATTTAAAAGAATTTACATCTAACAGCCATCATCGCTAAACAAACGGCTAAGGTAAACTCATAGGTATATTTACAGAGTTGAAAATGATTACAGAATCTACTGCACCGTGTAACTGGTTGAGAATAAGAGTTGTCTTGTTGTATCTTTAACAGCTTGCCTCACCTCTTGGATCTTCCAACAGTAAAGTACTGGATTTAAAGAGGAGTTCAAAAACACGAAAGTAAATGTAAATGCCCTAGCAAGGTAAACCGATAAAGACATCCCCTTATAAGGCGTTAAGGGAGCCGTTATACCATATGGCAGATAACAGACAACCAATGCTACCAGCAACCACAGAGAACTACACACCGCCTTCCTGTATCGAGCAATGCCCTCGGGAATCTCTTGTCCCTGTTGCTCTCGAACATGCTTTTCTTGTTGACGCAGAGTCAAGAAAATTTTTGTGTAAGACAAACATGAGACTACTAAGCACGGCAAAAACAGACCTACTTGGAATAACCAAGTATACATGTACGGCTTCCAAAAGTAGCTTGCTGTGGTGACAATGGATAGAATCCACAAAACAATGACAGTTATAATGGTTTTTTTCAGTGTAACTACCTGTCTGTATTTGAGTCCCAGCAGTAAGGCTAAAAGTCTATCCATACTTATTGCAGTCACTGTGAACAAAGACGCCGAACACAAAGTAGCTGCTGTAACAAAAATCGCAACGTTAGCAAAATGACAAAGATCCCATCTTTGGTTCACTACAGACATCCAGTATGCGACGGTGAGGGGCTCGGCAGTGATAGCAACACAGAGATCAGTTACCGCCAGGTTACGATACAGGAGTTTGGACGGCGGATGAAGTGAAGTCTCCTTACGAAGGGCAGCTAGAATCACAATGTTCCCTAGAAATGCGGTGATTGACAGTAAAACATTTAGCGCTGAGAGAAAGATTAACTCGTTGTGAACTTCAGCAGTGAACTCTTCAGAACAAAACAGTTCACGTGAAATTCTTTGCTCAGTTGTAGCTTCAGTAAAATTTGCCGGTGCCATCCGCTCTCGTGTTCTTGTCTCGTGTTTGTCCTCTTCAGGTGCTTTCTCAGCGGCGTAATTATTACTTTCTTGTGCCTTTGTTATTTTTATATCGACCAACTTGTCTAATGCAAACAACGTATCCAAGTTCCACGTCAGTGTTCTCTGTATGCTAGTTATTTAAAAAGGTTTCCAATTATTTTGCCAGTTTTCTACTGTGTCGCAGGTAGGAGGGCGCTGAATTATATTTCTCTATACAAAAAACTCTGCACTCCTTAAGTCAAAAAATTTTTAGTTTTAATTTCATAAATACGGTCGCCCACAACTGTCACGGCAAAACCAAAAACCTCACTGCAAAACCGAAAACCTCACGGCAAAAACAAAATACCTCTCGGCAAAACAAAAGACCTCACGACAAATCCAAATACTTCACAGCAAAAACCAAATACCTCAAGGCAAAAGGAAATACCCACGGTAAAACCAAACCTATTTTGTTTTTGCTGTGAGGTATTTGGTTTTGCCGTCAGGTTTTTAGTTTTGCCGTGAGGTGTTTGGTTTTGCCGTGACAGTTGTGGGCCATCATACATAAATGTTTTAATTTACAAGCGAATCTTAAAGGCTCTTTGCTAAGCGAAACAATAATTGCCGAAAATCGCTCATGTCAGCGCCACGATCTAATTACCCGACTGAAACAGATACTACATTTTTCATTCATCCTTATTTCTACTCTTACTCTTGTTTAACAAGATATAAACTCATCAATATCTGTCTAGAGGTAGAAGTTTAATATTGAATACACTCATCCCGCAGGATAATTGTCAAAGAGGGACGCATAAAAGACGCCACTCGGAAAATACACATTTAAAAGATCAATTTATTTAGGACCCGCGATTAAGGGTGGCTCGCCTACTTTTTTCTTTCTTTCTCATTTTTTTATGCCGGGGGGAGGGCTGGGGTTTAAGTATTGACGTTAAAGTTGAGTAACAAGTGCGTTATCGATAGTAACGCCGAAAATGTTCACCACGATATTTGTCTTACATAAACAAAAATTGCTGTTACAATTGTAATATCTAAGTCGGTCACCTTTTTTCGGTACTGTCAAGGTAGTACTGATCTCCTCGATTCTTAAAATTATATTACGAGTTGAAAAATGTCGAGGGGTTAGGTTCATGCAATTAGCTTAAAGATCATGGAGGGAATAAGGCTAAAGTTAAGTTCGTCAACCTGAATTCAGTGGGTGGGATTGAGCCATTATTCTAGCTGATTGTGCTAACGATACGCAGTTCATGTTTAAGTTAATTAAAGCAACTGAGGACATTCAGTACCAATCCCGTTTTTGCCAAAAAGGATCTCTTCTTTTCGGGTCAGTTTTGGTGAGCTATAAACAAAAGGCTCCGGGGAGGCTTCAGGAAGATTCAAGGTGATGCAGTTAACTCTTGTATTAGGGACGGCTCTTCAGCAGGTAACTGGCGTTAGCTATAGGCATGTACACTATAAATCAGGAAGATCTGTTTTAGCCCTAAAATAGGGCCGTTTGCGGTTTGCGAGAGGATTTAATTGAGAATAACTTTAGTTAAAACAGTGGCCAACAGACAAAGTTGTGTCAGTACATGTCTTTCACGAGCGTACGTTTTTGTCAACTGAAGAGCCATCATCGGTACGAACTCTACGCAGTTGGTGGCGGCTTCTCTCTGCCATGTGGCCTCCAAAAAGGGGAAGAAGTTGTACTCCGGTGATGCCCACTCTATTGAGTTCACTTTTCTCAAGCTTTCCTAGGTACTAAATGTCTCGTTTTTCTTAAAGGGGCTGTGTCACGGCAGTCCAGTTCATTTTGTTTAATTTTGCCAATTACTCTGCCTCAATCGCTATGGAATTTAAAGGAAGCAAAGAAATTACATGTAAATGACAAAATCAGAGATCCGAGACAAACAAATATGTCTCCAGAGCATTATTTTTGAAGTTGCAAGCAGCAGGGATCATCTTTGAAAAACTGTTAGGCTGAACAGTTTTCAAAAACCCTAATTTCAATCCATTTCAATCTTGTTCAGTTTTGCCCATCCGTGGAATCTGCTGTTTCTGTTGCGTTACTTTAAACTTCCTTTAATGTTTGAAGCAGTTATTTTTGTTTCGCTCATTTTAACGAGCATTTTGTAATTACCCAGTTTGTCTGAATTTCGTGACAGATCTCCCTTAAGCTGCAATTCTTTTTGGAGTGAACGGTTAGCATGATGACTTTATATGGGAAGTTACGGTGGGCTCATGTCGATAGCCTTCTTACTTCGTAAGCAAATGGCACAGTTTTCGGGAAACTGCGATTGTGTCATGGATGACGCTGCCAAATGAAATTGATTTGATATCTTCTTCATAGCTCTTCCTGTGCAGGAGTCTGGTGAAGAGACTAGTTAATCAGAACAGCAGGTAATTTGTCTCAAATAAAGTATAGTAATAATAACATTAATAATTTAATTATCCCCTCTCTTTCCGGTACTCTTAAAGGATAATGAAACAATAATCGAAATGGAACATAACATGTTTTAAAAGAATCAGTTGTGTATTTTATAAGCGTGATCGTGGATTTGAACTCGGGACTACCGAGAACAAATCCAACAAGCGGTCACCGCGGACTTGTACTCGGGACTTCCGAATTACAAGTCCAGCACTCTAACCGCTCGGCCGCGCTGCCCCCTTTAATATCCTCATGGCCGCATAACTTCTTTGATTTGTTTAAACACCCAAACATACTTATGACGTTCGCGAGAACGCCAAACAAGTTATTGCAATCCTGTTTGACTGAAGAGTAAAGGTTAAATGAATTACCTCTGATTAGCCACAAACATTGACAGTTCCTCAAGGCAGTCTCTTGGGACCACTCCTGTTTAACTTATTCATCAATGGCCTAGACTTTGCCGTATCCTCCCTGGCGCTCTACGCAGACGACACTGCTACCTCTGAAACCCGAGGAAATATTATTATGCTATTCTGCATCCAAGAATTGCTATAGCTCATAGTTCAAAGAGTCGTCATTGCCAGTCAGTGGTATATGCACATTTTCGTTTTCGGCATTGTTTTCAGCTGGCTACTAAGATTCAAACTCAGAAAATCGTTTTGGCCGTTAAATGGAGGTTCAAAAGAATACAGAAACTCTCTTTGAGAAGGCATGAAACAGGCTAATCCCACTTAACTGATGCAGGTGGTTTTTATTTTCAATTCCATTTTTCGGGACAATCGGCCCATCGGTCACTTTTATGGGAGGCTGGCTGCTTAATAGGAACGCGCTTTAAAACATATCAGGCACCATGTCAGGAACCCATCAACTAAGAGCGTCCATCCGCGCTACTCACGTGTCTGCGCGTTAGACGGCTTTTAATCTATCACGATGATTCAAGCGCCCGCAAAATCCAGTATGGCAGTTGATCTTCTACGTGTAACAGAATCTTTCTTGTGAAATAGAATCTTTCTTCCCGCTACTTTAATATCGCTGTTTGATATCTGTGCTCGTCTGCCATTTTTGAAAATGTCAATACTCTGCTTAGCTGCTTTGATTGGATGGGAATTTTTTTGTCTTGGCGCGAAATGAGTGGAAATGTTCAACGGAAATGTAACTTGAGTACAGTGTAGTTATTGCTACCTGTTCGTGTTCTGAAATAAAAACACCAGAAAACCCGTATTAATTATCTTTATTAACCCGATCATTTCTTCGCACCCTTTTGGATGAAAGGTCTGCAAACAATGACGATTAACATTTGGTATTTTTAATGGTAATGTATGCTCAATTTTCTCTCAATTAGTTTGAAATACATGGCTTCATATTACACTCCTAGCCTTTTATGGCCCATGTTAGTTAAGGAGTGACAGATCATGGGCAATAACATTGCTATATTTCAATTGTTTTATTCTATGGTTTTGATATATGATATATTACACCTTTTTCAAACAATTTATGAAAGTGTTATATTTTGTTTCCTTTGGAGTATTTGTCATGCTTTTTACAAGAACCTCACCATAGTATAGTTTTAAATTCATGCGAATGAAATTGCAAACTGTCGGTGCCTCTATCATCACCTGTCCTATTTCACTAACCTTAATATCTAATCATTTGAGCTTCGGCTTTAGTATTAAAGCAGAATGCTTTTTACAGTTTAATCCTACCTGCTGTGAGCAATGGTAAGTTTCCTTCAGGAGATAAATCGAGCAGGGATGCTCTAGGTATAAGGCAAAAGCTGCTGCCATTCGGATTGTAAAATAGTCTAAATTTAACAGGTTTACGCAATTTTTTTTTTTTTTAAGCCTTTTCGTATTTCATATATAGTTAATAACCATTCGACTGAAAACTATATTTTTATATTTTTGAGCATTTTAGTTTTTTTAATTAATCTGCCATAAGAAATGTCACCTTTGTGGGATGGCAAATTTTGTTGTCTTTCGATGGCTGTCGTCATCTTTTCTGACAGGTACTTTTTAGTTTAAATATAATGAAAATAAAACTTGCGCACTGAACTGCATCGTTTCTAAGCCCCGAGCTTTTAATAAGCGCCTCAACATTCATTCTACGAATCCAGACCAGACTCCAAAAATTAAAGAAATTCATCCGGCCGCTTAAAAATAGTCTAAAGGCAGACGTGTTTTAATAGAGCAACATAGGTACAATGCTATATGTGCGATTTATTCTAACCGTATTTTTATTAGACTTATCTATTTTCTTAACAGTTGACGTGACTGGTGATACAGCTTACGATAAGTGTTTTTTTTTTTCGAATCCATAAACATTTTTTACTTTGCACACATTAATTTTATTCAAATTACTGAACTTTGAATGAAAATTTGAATAAATACAGTGATTAATTTCCCACCAAAACGAACATTTTATTGAGCCCCGAGGGCCAAGTCTGCTGTCACCAGGGGGTACTAAATAGATGAAACAAGTGCAGTAACTATATCCTGTTAGAAAAAATAAGATTGTAGATGGAACTGCATGTACCAGTAGAATATACAAACATTTTGTTGATGTTGTCTTAAATTTT